TTATGCCATCTCCGATAGAGAGCTCGAGTTCGAGATGACTTTGATCAGCTGTTGGCCTGCGTGTGTTGCTTTGGGGTTGTCAACGAACTCTGAATGGCTGGGGACCTTCATAGGGACTAATACACGTGCGCACGATTCCAGCCACAAGGCATCCTGCGCGGACGGGATCAACAGAGCATGGCAGGAATGCAAACTAGGTTGAGGTTGAATTACGTTCTGCCGTCTGTCCGTAACAGCGGGGTCTGTTATGCCCAACTTGTTTTCGATAAATGATACCTGTTGGACGCAATGTCGCTCCGACCGCACAGGTCCTACAACGGGACAAAGCTGGGGACGCGTGGAAGCTACTCGGAGACGAGAACGTGAAAGTTGTAATCGAAGGCGGCGTGCCTAACGTGCGAGCGAAAATCGACCACTTCAGCCAGGGCTGTCTTGGGAAGAACATCCTGCTGGAGGACGCGGTCCTGACGGAAAGGGTGAGCAGATTCTGCCTCCCATACAAGAAACAAGTCGAGTTTGTCAACGCCACCCGGAGGACTCTTACGTTCCTCGTGCTGCCGACCTCTTGGTCCCACAGCGCCATGACGAACCTGGCGGTGAGGGTAGGAGTGGAAGGGATAGTGGCGGTGGCCGCGTCTGCATGGAGTTGTTCTATTTTTTCGGACCGGGATTTATGTTGGAGCTATTCACTTGGCGAGAATACCCCGAATTCAAAGCACATCGACAGTGTTCGACATCGCATTGTCCGAGAGCGTGTAGCACAGGGGGGAATTAAGGTATTTCGTGTGCGATCAGACTGTCAAGATGTAGATTTTCAGGTAAAACTGCAGGATAAGGAAGCTTTTCGCGCCCACCGCGATTTCGTGTTGAATCTGCGTTGATATTCTTTTGCGCCACGTTGTTTTGCCCCCATTTCTAGCTTCAGAGCGGCTATTGCTGTTGCTGTGTTTTGTAGGCACGTGCAACGTTTTCTGTTTAGCGCGCGCGGGGGGGGTTACCGGGGAATACGTTCCGCTGACGGTGTTGCAGGACCGCGGTGTGTATTCCATTTGCGGTTGTTTGGTCGTGTGTAATTATTTCTGTCCTTTTCTGGCAGTCAGTTTCTGCCGTCGTTTTAGCTTTTCGCTACGTACATATTGGTGTTTGTTTTCATGAGGTGTAAGTATTGGGAATGCAGAATTCGTGGACACTGCTGTGCGCAGACGTTGCTAGTTGAGCTGCAATGAACAACCATGAGGGGGGGGGGTCTTACCATGATCCCCGCCGCAATACAACAAGCAGTTTTTGACGTGTCGTAGGTTGTTGGTTTTGATGTTGGCATGGTCTTCTACTGTAGTACCACACGTACATTGCTATTGAAGTCCTTGTTTGGTAGTGTATGTCTTCGGAGGATGACCCGGCAGGGAGGCTATTGAGTATCGGTTCCATGTTTAGGTATCCGCAGTTGTGGTAGGTTTTCCTTGATGTTTCGGAACACATCGGGTTTACTTCATCTGTCTGTTTCGTATGTAAGTATTTTTGAGGAAGGATTTGACATGTATGTATTGATACGCTATTGTTTTGAGGCTTCAGCGTTTCCCGAGGTTGTTTGAAATCGATTGGTCTACAAGTTGAAATTCTGCTTATTTGGGAATCTCTTAGGATGAATTTACACTTCTCTGTGTAGGGCGTAAACATTGTGGGAGTATTTCCCGAGTGTAGTCCAGATGTTTAGATGACTTGGGAATGTACGGAGAAGCAGAGACTTGATGGGTTGGCATCCAGTCGTGAAAGACGTTTCTCGAAGAAGGTTGTTTGATTCGTTGGTGGGTCTGTTTTGTCTTGCCAGGGGCTGTCTACTGAGGGGGATGAGAATCGGATATCATAGGTTCGGAAATTTTGTAGAACACACAGCTTTGTTGGGAGATCGACTATTTCGTGGGATGGAGGAAGCCGGAGAAATATTCGTATGCACAGGAGCTACGGATTGTGTCTACGTCAACGTCCACACGCAGCCGTGAGTGTTGCCTTTGACCTCTGTCACCATGTATAAGACTGCACAATCGAGGTGCACCGCTCAGCTACATCATCGGTCATTGCAACATACATACATACGCAAGTTCTACTCGCGCGACACACTGCCGAGGAGAGAGCACACACCAGAACAGGAACATATCCTTTCGACAACAGCCGACAAAACATTATTTCGAGAACCCATACGATATTATCGTCAACATCCACAAGCCTACATCCAAGACGGCGCAACAGGAAAGAGAAGAGAGAGAAGTCCCATGAACGAAACCGGCCGCTCTGCTAGTTCTTTCTTCACGCAAGAGCACTATTTTCGCATAGCCGCCGACCGTGAAGAGATTTAACACATGTACACAGTTCGTGAGCGCATTTGAGAACTTCGCAGCGAAGAACATGAGCCAAAAACCTCAAATTCTAGAGCCTTGAGCACTAGTATTAAGGACGACTCCATCACACAGCATAAGACTCCAGGAATTACGAACCCCAGCCGCGGCAAAAGCTAGAGGTGAGAGCGGGCGCTAACTGTGTGTGTGTTCGGGTCGATGCACCGCTGTAAATCATGCAGGGTGATGGCGCAACACTTCTTCAACAGAGAGAAGAAAAGCGGACTCGGTACTGTAGTGGCTTGCTCTTTCTTGACAAATATTGAAGGACAACATCTGGATTAACGCGCCGCCGAACGCTCGAAACGAAAAATTGAGCCTTTCGCAGAATCGAGATACGCTGTGCGCAACGTTAACGACGCGGGACGTACAAGGAGCCGTGCCCCTTGGTGGTGTTTCTACGCTCAGAACATTATCGAGACACCCGCCGCCGAGCGCACGTACTAGGAACATCGTTACACCATCACCCTAATTGGTGGGCCCCTCAAAGCGACAGGCCAGCATGAGCCACACGGCGAGGGCCCCATCAGGATAGGCGAACACCGACGACCGAAGGGCAAACCTGCATCATCATCGCATGCGGTACATGCGCAGCAATAGGGCCGTTTCCAACCGCGCTCTTGTTCTCCACAAAATAATCAAGGGTGGGATTTGCAGGAAGCTGGCAAGATGGTTTGGGAGGTAACATCGTCAGAAGAGCCCCGTTGACTGGGAACTCATCACCGCAACTTCTGCTCCCGAGGTGATTCCAAGCGTTGGTTTTGGAAATTTACCAAGGTTTTGGGCCATTTCCAATCGATGGGATACAAACCGGTCAGTAGAACTAATCCCATGATATACCGCCATGCAATGGATTCCACGGAGAGGGAGTCGAAACTGCAAGAAGAGAGAGCAGACACGGGCACCGTCTAAAATACACGACAAGGATCATCGAAGAACACACCGATGAAAGCCCGAGATTGCGCGAGAATTGAGAATTTCAGACTAACGAACATGGGATGAGTAGTATACCACTTGAGAGTTGTATCATGAGGCAACGCCGGTGCGGTAACAGGGCACGGGGATGTGCAAGAAAATCACCGAACCTGTGAATGAAAGTCTGACACGAGGGGGGCGTATCTCAAGAAAAACGATGGTTTGAGGATACCCTTCGACGTCAAGGCAACGTTAGAATCTTGACCTTCGTCTGCTAGCACCACCCGCCCGAAAGGTCAGTCGCTTGAACGGAAGTCCGGGGTTTCGCGGCAAAGGGTGGGAACAAGACCACGGAAACTCCAAGCCACCCGAGTTGCCAGGTGAAACAAAGACGTGAACCAAATGTCCGAAAACGTGTGGGTCACGACATCGTCCGATTTCGCATGTGCACCACACGTAGGTTTACCACCACTTTCGAACGGATTGGGGCGATAATTGAAGTAGGTCTTTACCGCCACTCACTGCCATCGCCACCACTAAGACCACGACAACAACCATGCTGCCACCAAAGAAGCAGCAACTGCAAGAATGAAAGCCGCGACGAGCGTTTGTGCCAGATGCTTGCCTGAGATGGTCTCCCTTTGAGGACAGAATGTCGCGGGCGACCGTGCGGTCTAGCAGGGAGGCCAACATCTTGCTGCAGGACAGATGGTCGAAGCACGTGGGGTAGCCCTTGAAGCAGTGCCTGAAACGAACGAGCGCAACTCGAAACAATGAGCCGTCTCTCTATCGCGCGATGGTGGTGGAACCACGTCGTCTGGGCACTTGGTCATGTCTTGAAGAAAACACTTTGTGCGGGTGTGGAAGCACGCTGGAAGCACACTTTGGAAGGGACGAGGCCCCAAAAGCTTCATTCCTGACTTCCCAAAACTATGGTGTCACACCAAACCTTCTCGGCGCGCGTGCGTGATGTTGCAAAAACTTTCTTTCTCCTTTCTACAATCTTTACTGTTGGTTCTACTGCTTTTGTTCCACCAAATGTGCATTTGGTTGCAGCAACACTTGTTGCTGTTTGTGTCAAGTCGTATGTGGCGAGATCCGAGTAGTTTGAAGTCATGTCTTTCACGTCGTACTTGACTTCTTGCGTTGAACTTGAATGTATCCCTTCATACTTTCCATTATGATATCTTTCTTTGCCGTACTGCTGTCGATGATGTTGGCATACAATAGTCTGTGTATATTGCCATGTAGTCCCGATATCTCGATGTAGCTCGGCGCTGGCTGTGAATTCCTCCATTGCTTGCTGGTAAACATGTTACTGAAAACACTAATTCAGATCAAGCAGATGTTCTCAGCAACATGTGGGTCAGCAAGCCATGGAGGAATTCAAAGCCATGGTCGAACAACATCAAGATGTCGGGACTGATCGGGACTACATGGCGAAATAAACAGACTATGCCAGGATCATGGACAGTCAACATTAACATATACATTTTCCTTCATACTCTCCATAATGTTATCCTTCTTTGCAGTTATGCTGTCGATGGTCTTGGCATACAATAGTCTGTTTATTTTGCCATGTAGTCCCGATATCTTGATGTAGTTCGGCGCTGGCTGTGAATCCTCCATTGCTTGCTGGTAAACATGTTACTGAGAACACTACAGCAGATCAAGCAGACAGCTTTAGGGTTCTTAGTAACGTGTGGACCTGCGAGCAATGGAGGAATTCAAAGCCATGACCGAACATCAAGATATGGGGACTACATGGCAAAATAAACAGACTATGCCAACATCATGGACGGAATTGTGAGAAAAAACAGGTTATGGAACGAATGAAGGCAGATACTGGTATGGGGTTTAAAAAAAGCAAATGCTCAGAGACGTCAAGTCATAAGTGAAAGACATGTTGGTTTTATGCTACTTAGATCGTGTCAAACTGAACTAGGCTCCAGTGCCACCGGCGGCAAACAATAAAAGTCCCAGTGAGGCAACAATGATTGTACATCCTCTTCCGGGCTTAAACGCCTTCTTCGCAAGAAGACCCTTGGGTACAGGGCAATTTGACACTACACATTTACACATGTGATTGATATGTTCACACCAGAATTTTTGTCACTGCCGGTGGGTTTGGTGGCCGTGAATTGAGTGCCTGCCCACACGATGAGCAACGGCTCAAACAACAGCAAAACCGGCTCACCTGGAACGCGAGACGTTCGCATACATATTACATATACGTACACCTAGCTGCTAGAAGTAGATAAATACTGGACACATACAGAAAGAGTGATCCCTCTGGAGTGGGCTCATGAGAGCACAGTGTACTCAAAGCGGTGGTGCAAGATGACAACGAACGCAGGCAACAGGACCAGCCCACAGCCGGCTGTCAGTTGTGCAGTGTCCGTAAAAGCCCACACAGCTAACGTATTCTTCGCCGAAGAGAGCACAGCGAACCTCCGAACGAACGCACCAAAAATAAGAACGACATGCAGTCTTACATGGACTGCGATCTGCTTCACTCGAAGAGCGCCCAGCGAACCTCTGAATGAACCAAAGAGAAAATATAAACAATATCTTTATACGATTGCGGCTTGCTTGCCTGTCTGGTACTGCCCCTTGAACGGCATCCTGGAAGTTGTCGCCGCCGAAAGAGGCTCCGCACAAGCGCTCCTGCTCGTACGCGAACACCGCGGGCCCCAGAAGGTAGCCGAGGGCATCGTCCCACACCTTCGACCGGGCGCGATGGATGAAAACAACGCTGCGATCAGGACCCGTACCATAAGGGAAAAAAAACACCAAAATCTTACTATCCGCATGGGCAGTGATTCCTCTACAACACAACCACTTGTAGTTAGGTACGTGCTTGCCTGTAGAACTACTTCGATCTCCTTCCTCGAGGTCTGATCTTTCTTTTCTTTTTCTCACCGTGGGCCAGCCCTTGCCCTCCCGCCACGCCGCGACACGCCGCTTCACCTCCGATTCGACGCCTTCCGCGATGCCCTCCGTGTTCAGGGTTGGCCGGAGGAGAACCACGCCAGCGGGGCCGGCCGACGCCGGGTATGACATGCCTACGATTGAGTACGTTCAGGATCATCCGTCCACCCCGCGACGTGATGCAGAAAACGAGGGTCTTACGTTGTGCATAGCGAGTACAGAACGGAGGAAGCCTGGAGAAACGTGCACAGGATGGAATGTAAGAGCCATATGTGTCCTCGACCCCTATTGTTGCAGCAGGTGAGCACACGCTCGTCGCATCTAGCCCGTCCGGAGGTTAGCCTCACGAAGGAGATAGATATACCCATCACGGATTATATGTAGACTTCAGTTATACACGACGGACCACAGCCAGCACCGGAGAGGCCAGTCGGAAATCTCTGACTTCCGCCGCTTCTCAAGAATGCCCGACAAGTCACCACGAAAAGTGAGAACGAAACAGAACACCGAAAAACATTTTCTTGTGGCGCGAAGATGCGCGCCCGCGCTAGCGGCGAAAAGGATGGGGGAACGAATGGGCTTAAAACGATTACCGGCCGAGTTTCACCTTTCGGAACGATCCTGGAAGAATCCATGGGTTTCCACAGCTTGGGGTCGGAGATGTCCAGGGACGTGGTTCCCACTCGGTTATCCGACTGCCCAGATCGGAATCCATACACGAAGGTGACAAGACGTGGATCACGACAACACTCTACGCACGCGTAAAGGCGGCCAATTACATGAACAATGTATCAGCAATAGTTTGTTTTCATTCATTGCCATGTCTTTCCATTGAAACCCTTCTGAGTTCAATCTAACATTTTCTCATCTGAACTCTTGGAGGAAGGATAACCAAGGCTCCGTCGCCACAGTCTCACTCAATCTGATGTGCTGCATCAAGTGCGAAAGACTGACTCCGAAGGAACAGCACCGGCGATTTTCACTCTTACGCCGACCACCTGTGCGATCGCGTGAAGCAAGCCAAGCCCGCCACCATCGATGGGAACGATGATGCAGGACGGAATGCGCATGCGCCCGAGTAGAGGCATCGTCGCACACATGCGGGAAGGCGTCGCAGACATGCGGGAAGGCAACCACAGTGACAACAACAACAACAACAACAGCAACAACAACAACAACAACAACGACAACGACAACGACAACGACAACGACAACGACAACGACAACGACAACGACAACGACAACAACGACAACAACAACGACAACGACAACAACAAACAGCTGCCGCTAAATGCCACAGAGCACGCAAGAAGGAAGGTAACGAAAGCAAGATGAAGATGAAGCCGCCTCCGTACAAGCTGACCTGCTTGTTGGCCAAGAATTCCCGGTGGTTGAACATGCACGAGACCTTGCTGAAGTGCCGCGGGGTCACGGCCATCTTTCCCGGTGTTGTTCTGCGCCCTACGCACGAGGGCAACACACACCACAATGAAAAGGGCCAAAGAGACACATCGACCAGAGAGGAAGAACGAAAGGCAGCGAGTTTGACACAGCTCCGTCGAGGAGCCTCTGGCCTGGTGCGTCGTTACTAACCGCCGTTGCGTCAAAGGGAGTGGAGAGGGGGCAGGAAAGAGACGGGAGCGATCGACGGACTAATGCACTAGCGAGTCCCAGACACACGTTATTTTTGTTTTGCCCAAAAAACAACGCCGCGGCGGAGACGGAGCGAAAAGATGCACACGACACGATTTCCGAAACGGAGGCACCGCAAAATAAACAGCAACAGGGAGGGGGTAATGACGTACGCACGAAACATCCGCGCAAAGTCTGTCGCCTTTTGGTTCTTGTGGCTCTATTTAGGTAGCTGCTACAGATCCAGCAAAACAATTCTTGCCTCTAGAAGGCCTCGGCCGTGGAGCGCTCATGGCGAAACGTTGTCCGGTCAGAGACTCCCAGAAAACCGCTTTCTTGTCCGCTCGACTGCCGCTGAACGTGCACACCCACTGTCGTTGTGCACGCCATCGCCAGCAGCGATGAGGAAGCGGCGAGTCGGTCGGAGCGCCCGGGCGGAGGAAGATGGGGATCAGCTTCAAGCCGGCCGCAGGCGTGTAAGGCCGTGGTATGGTACGTGACTGAGGGCCGGAGTTTCACCGTCGTTTCTCGAGAAAAAACTGCCGAAATCCGAGCACGCGTGACTGCGATGCTTTCAACTAACCGCTGATGGCCCCGAACCCTTTGTTTTCCTGCCCCTTACCATGTGCCCCGTCTCCTCCCCCCGGTTTCCGTCGGAGTCCCCTCCCCGTACCCCGACGCCCCCCGGCTCAGCTCCGGAGGCATCGCCGTCGCCGTTGTCGTCGTCGCTGGGGTGCACCAGGCCGCAGCACACGAGCGCGTCCAGCCCGAAGCCGAGCAGAAGGGAGCACAGCAGCAGCGCGTGGTCCGATGCGTCCCCGGTCCCCGCCGCCAGGAAAGCGTGGGGGGAGTTCCACGCCCTCTGCGTGGCGGGCGGCTGCTCTCCCACGGTGGAGCGGGGCCGGAAGGGGAGGAGGGAGACGAACCTGTCATATCATCCGCGCGAGGGGTTTTCGAGAAATGGCGGTGGTGTCGCGTTTGCGTAGTAGCCAGAAGCAGGCGCTTCGCGCTTTCTCCCCCCAGCAAACGGGGAGTTGTGATGATTTGAAGTTCTGCAAACGTGAAACGCAGAAGCGCGCGAAGGATGAAACCATTCGGTCGCGCGCCCGGGCGTGGGAGCCCCGGCCTAACTTGGATCAAAGCAGACTTACTAACCCTTACGTGACTTGAGCCAATCTGAGTTTGTTAGGGTGCTTCCTTCATGAGAACTGGCTCTTGGATGGTAAATATGCATATGTGCGCAACATTGCGGAGGTAGACACGAGACACGCACAAATCACGGCGGCAAGAGAACGATACATGAATGAGAAATACGTCCTGATGTGTTTCAGCGCTGGAAACGAAGCGGTCGTCACGTAAGGAATGAGCATCGACAAGAAAAAGGGCACGTCCTCACGACCATCCTACGCCAAACACAAAATCACACCAAACCCGCGCCGAACAAAAGTCCGATGTATTACAACGTGGTGCGAAAGCAGCATGGATTTGATTGCCAACGGGGCGGGGAATCACCTTGCGGCGTGCCTTGGCGTCGGCAGCATCCGGCCCTGGCGATAGGGCTCGAGGAACGAGCACACGCAGCGGTGCTGCCCTCGCTCGTCCTCTGCAAAGATCTTGACGGATCTGGACAAAACACGAACAACGGCACCAACGGTCGAGGAACAGATCCAGGCGCAACAACAGCTGCCATTTATTGTCTCTTGCCACAACTTTGACGTACTCTTCGTTTTCACTATCAAAGATTCTGTTTCAGGCAAATTTACAATCGATTACTCATCATCGCGCATATTATTTTTGTACAGGTTGGTGTCACTTACTTGACCTTCATAGAGATGATGACTGAAATACAGAAAGAAAAAAAAAACGAAAGGGGAAGAGAGACTCAGAACTGCCTCTGCACTTGATGTTCTGTGCTTGGTCCCTCTCCATACACGTTGTGACAATGAAGGTGATACAAACTTGCGTCGGAGGCCAAAAGCGTCTTGCACTTGCCTTCGTTTTCCCTCGGCAACGGACCTGGAGGATCTAAATAAAAATATGCATGGGACTGAAACGAAGCATGTCCAACATTGGTTTTATCGTTCCGTACGTCGAATACTACCGGAGTAACCCTAGACAGACAAGCCCCCACAAAAACCGGACAGAGATCGCACTAACTGGAAGTCAAAAACACTCAATTTCAATCGCATATCCGCTTGGCCCGCGCCCCACACGTTTGTACTCCAGACGACTTCAGTCCGAAGCACTTCCATCGCCTCCACTCATCGAAAACAACAACAATAACAACAACAACAGTATTCGATCGCATCGAAACGGTGGGGGGTGCTTCGTTTGGGGAATTTCGTTGCCTTTGAGGAACCACGGTGACCCCGTTCATAAAAGCACCTCTTGCTTAGAACCTTCGACGTTGAGCTGAAACCTTTCCACCACGCGTTCGCGTACAGGTAAAAGTCCCGCCGCGCCTCGCTGCGGACCGAAGCCTGCGAACAATAACAATTCAAAAAGAAGAGCAATCACACGCGCTCACAAATGAGGAAGCGAGTTCGAGACTTGGGTCACGCTCACAGCGACACGTTTCATTGACCACCGGACGGCGCGCATCAATCGACAACACAAGACTTCCGCTCGAACTTTGTGTTGTCGGAGAAACACCCCCAGGACGGGAGTCGCCGCGAAACCGGTGCGTGAAGGGCACAAATAATTGAGAGCCAACAACATGCTGCAGCACGCGATGTAGAACGGCAAATACCCGCTTGCTTGCCTGAAAGTCCATGATCCTCGTGACATCGTCGGCCTTGAAGGGGAAAGCCGACACTTCTGGAGGGGCGACCACCTCGAGTCGAAGGTGAAGAATGCCTCCGACTGGGAAAACGGGGTCACGTTTTGGGGGAGGTGCGCCGTCGTCGGTTGCGTTGCTGTTCTTGTTTTGGAGTCGAGTTGGTGTTGCTACGATTGTTGTTGGTGATGGTAAACGGTCGGTGATGCGTTTGGTCGATAAACAGTCGGTGTTACGGACGAAGTTCGATGCCCCCGTTACAATGCACAATGTACGTGCCGGGGACCCTAGGGACCCTGCAACAGCCGGCAAGGTACACGCCGGATCCCAATGCCGACCAGGCCTACAAGGCAGCCGATAGGGTATGGGAGAAACAGTAAGGAAGAGAAAAGCGATTGACATATCGCGCGAATGCGCGAATGAAGATGAAGGCACGCACGTGCCGCTTGCAGTTCGCGGACCGAGACGATCAACAACACAGTAAAGACATCGCCAGAAAAAACTGGCCGTTGAAAGGATGCGGCAGAGCAGGGGAAGCCGCCGCACTACACCTACTGTTCTTCATTGGCATCTTGGATCGTCGGGGGCACGCCGACAAGGCAACCTGACCAGACCGACCGATTCAAGACGACTTGATCAGTTCCCCGACGCCAACAGAAAGTGCTCGATCACTGTGTTCCCTGTGGTGCATGTTTGGTGCGGCACGCGAGATCGGGTCGTCTCTACGCCGCAAAAAACACTTCAAGATCTCTCAAGGTAAAAAAGCCGTGTAGAGCGGCTGCGGAATTCCCTCGAGATTCACAGAGAGGGGAAGAAAAACGGGGGCTGTCATACACCGCATGGTCGATCGCCAGTAGTGAGCTTCAATCGCGTCACCTGGGTGTACGATAGAGTCCGGCGCGCCCGAGGCAAGCTCCACCGCGAGGAGAACGCCGCCGCTCTTGTGCAGACCTTCTTGGGCCCCGCTGGCTGGCACCAACGCACGTCTGGGATTGAAAGAGGAGCGTGGAGGGATAGCACGTGCAGGAATGTACCTTAATGGAGAAAGACACGCTCGCATACGTACACTCCAATTTAGTCGGGAATGTCGACTTGTGTTGCACGAGGACGTCGTTCCATATACGCAAGCAACGGAGACCGGCTGCGTCATGGAGGTCTGCAGCGCACCGGTTGAACCCGACGGCTTCAACAAGATCCTTCCTCAGACACTTCCAACGAAAGGGCACCCTTTTTCGATAAATGACAACACCCAATTCGAGGAAAACGAGTGCGATTCCGCCAATCACTCCACAGGTAGTCATTGGTGGCGCGGCGGTGGATGCCAAAGACGTTTTCTTCTCTTCTGTTCGCTTGACGAAGCCCTCCTTCACAAGTCTTGGAAATGTTCCCACAGCGAGTCCCTTCCACGCGATCGTAAGGTTCCTCTCGACTGGATTGGTTGAACAAGTTGTTGGGGCAAGGCGAAAGTGTCCTTCCAGACCTCTCATTGTTTTCCTTGCGACATGCGTAGCCTCCTTGGCACCGCCAAGAAAAACACATACCCGCTGCCAGGATGCAGTAGCGATAATCGTCGCAGCTCTCGTTGACATCGCCAGTCCCAACAGGATTCATTCAAGCCCTTGCCTTCCTGCCTCGCTCATCAAGGACACGAATCTAGCCCTCATTGGCAAAGATCGGCTAGTAATACCAGCAACTCGCTGAGGTCCCTCATTACCGCTTCTCGACCAGCAACGGTTCCATTCTAATTCCGCCCCCGTCCCGCTCGTAACAAGCAGCAGCAGCAGCAGCAGCAAATCAACTCACCGCCAATCTACCTCCGCCGTGCCGACGAGCTCTCCCCGCCTAGATACATCTTCCGAGAGGAGGGCATACACCGAATGCTCATCTTCCTCCGCCGCCACAGCGGCTTGGTAACCCCTTTCGCCAGGGGCTCCGCCGTCTCCGTCTCCGTTGCCGGCGCCTGCCCCCGGCTGTACGGGTGGGTCGAGAGGCCTTGGCCTGATGCGAGACACCTTGTGCTTCGTGAGAGCCACGTGCAGGGGCAAGTCCGTCTGTAGGAATGATGCCTGCAGGAGCAGAGAGAGAGAGAGAGGGAGAGGAAGAGAGGGAGAGGGAGAGAGAGAGAGAGAGAGGGAGAGAGGGAGAGGGAGAGGGAGAGAGGGAGAGGGAGAGGGAGAGATCCAGAAAGGGCTGGTGAAACACCGTTTCATCGCCGAAGTCGAGGAGGGTCTCCCCCCCCGCATGTAGCCTTGAAAACAAACATGACACCAAAATTGTTATGTGAAATGCCTGCCGCGAAGGTCGTGCAAATACTCACAACGCTCTCTCTCGCCGCGCTGTTCAAGACTACTCGATCCAAAAATAGATCCGAGACGCACCTACGCTTCTACATGAGCGCCAGTGAGGGGCGATGGCCGGAATCATCTACTGTACTGACGAGACAGCCGCCGGGAGTCTCTGGACACGAAAAACCGAAGTCGATGGTGCTTGCTTCTTTTCACGAACGGTCGTGGACAAGCTAAAATATTCGTGCTCTACCGGCATGGCATCCTTTGCCGATGCACATATGTGCCCACCCACACGTTGCATCGCTGGCACAACACGACCGCCGCCACACGATCCGGACTGCAAGACTCCAGTCGCCGGAGAGATACGCCATATTGTATTCTATGCTGACCCATCGCCAAGCCGTCTCTCACACCGGCCGCCCTCAACCCTAGAGAGGCCTCAGCTACCTCGTCGCTAGAAAATCAAAGGGAGCTGTGACCGAATCGATATGCTTGGTGTGGGTGAATGCGGTTCTCTTATAGGCGTCAGTCTCACCCATCCCCCTGCAGTCACTGGCAGCTCGTGGGCCTCCCTCAGAACGAAAACGAAGCCCTCAGACCCAAAGCTCGGCTCTACGCAGCAGCGGACTTCGTTCCGGGTTCGTGCTCGCTGGGGAGGTAGGCGTTTCCGCCAAGATAATGAAAAATCGCAACAAACGTAGTAGCAGGAGAGACCGTTGTGGGAAGAGTCGGAAGACGTCGGTTGTCTACTTCGGAACAAAGGCAAGGGAATGCTCGCAAGGAGCGTGCCAGACGACCTTTCGTGTGATGAGTTCGGTCGCAAATAGCAAAGCACATTCGCAAGTAAATTTAGCAAGCGCAGTTGCATCGGGCGGTGGGGAGTCTTGCGGAAAACATAACGATACGTGCATGCATTCTGCAGACAGACAGAAAGGCAGAAAGAAAGACAGACAGATGAAATCACCTGAGCGTTAAACTGCAGATCAACTGAGAAGTTGTACAGGGTCGAGGACGTGGTCCGCTCATTCGCTAGCTCTCCAACCAAGGCACGCCCCTCCACAACCGTCACCTGCAACATAGTATCGCAACAGACGAGAAACAGACGTTACTGTTGATTATGGCGATGATAATATTGTTGTAGTTATTGTCGTGATGCTGCTGCTGCTGTCGCCGTTGGCAAGGGCGGTTGCTGGGGCGATGGTGGCGGTTGCAGTAGTGTGGTGTTCTTTGGTCTGGGGTTGCTGTCGTTCGTCGTTGCGCCAAAACGAAACAAACGTAACATGTCGCTAAACCTACAACCCCCTGGAGCAACAGAACGATTACCCTGCCATCCACGTTTTCTATGCACATGCCAGATAGTTTAACGACTGTCCTCACAACACCACAATCGAACAACAAGGGAACCCATACACAGGTCCGGTTACTGGCTTGAGAAAAACTAGGCAACAGTACACTGGTGGCCACAGGCAGATTGTGGGTAGGTTGGGACACCGACTACAACCCGGGGGGGGGGGGGGGGGCTTGGTGTCGAGTGAGCCTGGTCAGGGTTTGGCCTGTTCGGCCGATTGCCCC